CTACACAACCTGCACCGCAGGGGGTTGTACACAGATTCACATTCGCCTCCGATTCACACACACTTAACGTCTCCCACCTCTCCTCTCCTCTCCCTACCTCCCAACCACCCCCTCCTCCCTGCTTCCTGTACAGTATGCTGCAGGGTACTGGGGAAGGGGGAGGCAGCCAGAAGGCCTGATAACCAGGAAGCGGTCACATCTGGCCCTCACTAATTCAATTCCACACAAGTTTGCTTATCCTCCCCATAACATAACCTAATTTTAAAAAAAAGCCAGGAATTGCAGGCGCATTCATTTCAAATTCATCAATGGGGAGAGAGGCGGACGAAGACTTGTAAAAAGGTTGGGTCTTTTTTAATTAAAATCAAAATTGCCCCACGCTTCTTGGAATTATATATTTACCAGAAATGAATCCAACCGGCAGTGGTTACACAAGCCCATATGGCTATCAATACTTCACATTATAAGACACATTTGGAGTATTAGACACACTCCAACTCCAGCACCTCATACATTTACAAATTTCAGGGCCCCAAAGACACAGGTGTGACAAGAGTTTTTAATTTTGAAACTCTCAACTTTGAGAAAGCCTTAGTTTTCTGCTGAACAGTAACTTCCATGCAGGTTGCAGTTTGTCATTAATGACTGTAATCATTGGTCTCATCCGAGACGGCGATGAGTCAGCCTACAGACGGGAGGTTGAGCAGCTGGTCCTGTGGTGTAGCTGCAACAACCTGGAGCTGAACACGCTCAAAACAGTGGAGATGACAGTGGACTTCAGGAAGAGCCCTCCCACCTTACCCCCCCCTCACCATACTTGGCAGCACTGTATCAGCAGTAAAGTCCTACAAGTTCCTGGGCTCCACTATCTCCCAGGACCTGAAGTGGACATCCAACATCAGGACCATCACCAAGAAGGCACAGCAGAAGATGTACTTCCTGCGCCAGCTCAGGAAGTTTGACCTGCCCCAGGAGCTGCTGATACAGTTCTACAGAGGAATCATTGAGTCTGTTCTCTGCACCTCCATCACTGTCTGGTTTGGCTCAGCAACCAAACAGCACAAGTACAGACTTCAGCGAAAAGTCAGGACTGCAGAAAAGGTCATTGGTGTGAGCCTGCCCTCCATGGAGGACCTGTACACATCATGGGTCAAAAGGAGGGCGGAGTGGATCACTGCAGACACCTCACACCCTGAACACAATCTGTTTGAACTCCTCCCCTCTGGACGGCATTACAGGTCGCTATGCGCCAAGACAACCAGGGATAGGGACAGTTTCTTCCCCCAAGCCATCACTCTGATGAACACTTAACCAATGACAGTATGACTGGACAATAACCCTCAGTGTAACACCTGTAAATATACCTCGTACAGATTATACAGATTCGTACAGGTCTCTACTTTTAAGTACTCTGTTTTTATTCCTACTTATCCCATTCCACAATGAGCATTCCTTGTTTGTCTGCATTGTTTACTCTCTGTTTATACAGCTTATTTTGAATTGTTTGCACTGTTTGTTGCTTGTTAATACTGCTTATCTTGTTATATTACACAGCCTTATGCTGGTTTACTGCTTACTTGCCCCTTGCATGGGGATACGTACATACACATTGAGAGCCAGTGTACCAGAGTCAAATTTCTCATGTGTCTGACACACCTGGCCAATAAAGCAGATTCTGATTCAGATTCTAATGAAACAACTTATTTCCAATGCCACATTAAGAAAATTATTGAAATGGTAGACAGTTATAGATACTGAAAATGAGGACTCATGTTTCAAAGTGCTGGTTAGTAGCAGTTAGGATTGTTTAGGCCCTGGTGATTTTGACTTACCCATGGCTTTGGTCTCTTCTCCCTTGGCATTGAGGATAGAAAACTTAAACTTGGCGCGTACTTCACTTTTCGGGCAGCTAACCAAGAGCAGGTAAAGTGATAGATAGTCTTTGCTCTCCTCATCCAGACCTTTGGGATTCACACGCAAGCACCTAGGCAAAAGTAAAAGAACCATACCATAAAGACAGGAAGCACTTTTCTAAATGTTGGTGCGCTATAGTAACATTGTCCAGTGATGACAGTCAGGCTATTAGTGAGTATGAATGTATTTGAGGCATATTATGTAAATATTCCTAAAAATATTTCCTCCTTTATTTTGGAGGCAGACCTACCAATTTCATCCACAACCTCTTTCTTGTGCCTCAGTGCCTCATTCTGGTTTGACATGGAAGTCAAAATGCAGTGACATCATGAAATTTTCCCCACAGTAAGTTATATTTCAGCACCAGTGATTCTGCAATTCATGCTACATTACATAACATGAAACCATCCAAGATATATCTGTTAAAATATATGTTATATCGCTAAAAGGCAAAAGGTATTTATTACAAAGCTGGAATCACAGCCTTACTCTGTTCAGTCCATAAGTTTTTAGTCTCTCAGAGTTTTACAAGTCCCATTTCTCTTATTGGATTGTTGGTAACTCCTTGATCCTTGCTTGACCCGGAAGTCTGCCATCTTAAAGGACATCCCAAAGGTCTTATTCCTGCTCAGAGGAGTGAGGATGCTATCTGGAGAATACATATGCGACGATACACGAGAACATCCTTCCATGAGCTTCCCTGAAAGCCTGAGCAGTATGACACTTTTTTTTTTTTTTTTTTTTTTTTTTTTTTTTATGGGAGCCACCATATGCATCTGTTATAACAGAGGCACTATTCCCAATATCAGCATTAGATCAGATGCCCATATGACCTCATGGTACTCTATTCTGAAGGCAACTCAAAGTAAAACAGTCAAAGGGCAAATCTCATTCACCTCTCGCAATGTGCCACTGCAGGGCTTTTTGACTACCTCAGTGAGATCCACACAAGAGATATGAATGACTTTTCCCATTTTCTGACACCGTCTCTTCTACAGAAGGCGTTATCATCAGTTCCCCTTTGTTTTTCATAAAGAGCTGGTAAAACATACAGTAAGCTGAACAGTTAACTGACTATAAGTTTTAAATATTTTCCCCATCTTGGTATGCTTAAAACCATTATCCTGATATTTATACAGCTTTTATTTTTCACCCTGAGCCTGTTACAATGTGAGAAACAAAAATGATACCAGATTTGAATAAATTCAAACATGACAAAGTGCTACAAAAAGATTATTATTCCAAACATGTGCATGTAAACATCAGTGCTCATCCAGACATGATGAACACACACAAGACAGCGCTGAAGCAAAAGCACGTGGATGCTAATGGATTTAATCTATAGAAAACAATGTTCTCCCTGTTAAATGTGTAGCACGTGGAAACTCCTTGAGAGAGGACTTTGAGAAAATGTTCCCAAAGAAGAGAGATTAGAAACTTCAGTATGAGAAAGATGCAATGACCAGACTTCACTAACCATTTGAGTTTGTCGTTGGCTCCCGAGGAGAAAGTAGAGCTTTTGATGACCTCTCCCATCTCTTCACGACAGAAACTAAAGTTGTTGATGGTCCACATGTAGGAGAACTTCACCACTTTGATCTGCGGAGAAAAGACACGGGAAGGGCTGAAACCAGATCTCTTTATTTATATATCTATCTATTCTATATGGGTAAGTGGTGTTTGGTCAGCCTGGACTTCAAAACCGCACATCAATACTGCCTTTGATCTTAATAAACACCAACAACAAACAAAGGGAAAGAAGAAAGCATATTGTAAAAGCAGCAAGGAAAAAAAGCTATTTTTTTAAGGACAGAGGAGATGAAATAAACATCATCAATGACATATTTTATCTACTTTGGCTCTTAAGAGGACAATGATAGCAAAGCCTGTACAGCAATGGCTGAAACAAAGGCAGTTTTACAGTATAGGTAACTTTTAAAAGAAAGAAAGCACCCAAGATGACACATTTTATGGAACTCAAAGTAGGTTTAAAATACCAAATCAGTCAGGAAACTGGAAAGAACCACATCTGGTTCATGTCCATTCTGTCAAAAGAGCAAGAATGGGCACCGATGCAGTTGATTTTCACTCAAAAAATTCTAATCAGTCTTACTTAAATCAGCTCCAAGTAACATTATACAAAATCTCTACAGAACAACAAAGAATGGACTATCAATATTATGCTCTCTGTGCAGTAACATGCTAATGTCCCGCACTGAGGAAACCAAAGAACATATTTCTGCTGCAAGCAGCCCTCAGGTACAGTATGAGGTCGATAACACATCGGATCAGTGATCTCACTCCCCAGTCTGTTCAGTGGTAATTGTGTACTTAATCAACCACAGGAAAATATGCATTTACATAAAACTGATTAAACCACCATATTAAACATTTTTCACTATGGTACAGAGTCCAGGAATTAAAGCTCTGCCACTAGTTGTACTTAAACCAGCTGTAACTGGTATAAGTTATGTATTCAATTACAGACCCTTCCTCATACATCCCTCCTCACCTGAGTGTAACACCAGCTCTCAGCCACAGGGCCGCTGGACATTTCCGCTGGGGGAGGGGGGCTTGGGACTCTAGACATTTCCTTGATGCAGAGAAAACCTGAATGGGGCCAGAGCACCAGCCAGGGTTGCAGTATGTAGAGAAAGCGAGCGCCAACAATCAGTCAAGTTGGCCACCAGTCAAACAACACCTGGTGTACGAAGAGCCGAACAGAGATGAATCCAATGCCACAGTGTCCACACTCCAAAAAGCTACGGGCACCCTGTAGGGACACAGAAACACAGCCATTAAAGTACGACTTCAAACTAGGAAGCATATTACTGTGAAAAACTGTGACCTTGTCTGTGTGGTTTAGTGTAATGTGTCTGTGTTTGTGTGTGTCAAGGCCATTCCTAATTGAATGGTTAGTCTAAATGAGCAGCATTTCCCAGTAAACAGAACATAAGGGCATTGAATTCATTTGTTTTAAAAGAGGCTACAGCATTCAAAGCACAGCAGCAGCGTGCACTCTGCTTAGCTGAGGGAAGCCTTCCTTTATCTGCACATGGTTTTGTCTTTGTTTTGCTTTGAGAGGAGCAGAGTGTTGTGCCAGCCATCTGATTCCAACCAGACTGCACCCGTCCACTGTGGCACTAAATGAAGGGCAAGACTTAAGACTTTATCTCAAGCTGCCAGTCTGTACTCACACACACATGGTCATTCAGTACTTTCAAAAAGCCAGTGCAGGCTAAGGAAGGTCAAAGTTGTTTTTTTGTTGTTGTTTTTTTACAAGCACTGGCACCCAGGATTTTTCATTCTGAAATATTGCTCTTGTGATTTACACTGCAACTGCCACATCACCTAACCCTCTCTCTTTGTGGCAAAGGAAAACATCCTCATTATTTTTGTCTCATTTTTGTTCCCTTGCTATAGAAGGAGTCTCAAGGAATTGAAAATCGTATTGGGAAAAAAACAGAAAAATTGAACATGCAACAGTTCGGATTCAAAGCTTCATTTCTCTGCTGCCTAAATCTTTCATTTCCACTGTTCCATCCCCTGCTATTCTCAAGTTCCTCTCCACACATTTCATACCCAAGTCATCACAAGGTCAAGGGATCCGGCTTTTCCCACTCAACCTGCACATCCCCGCAATGTCCTGCCAAAGAAACCCTTCCACTCAGTTGCTTAATTAGTGGCTGATTGAAAGAGATTTTCAGGACCTGACTTGGCAGAAACTGAGTATCAGACAGAGTGAGAAATGAGAGAAGAGGTGAAAAGTGAGAGAGACCTCTGTCTCCTGTCTTCAGACATGAGAGGTGACACCCAGACCTTGACAGGTCCAGACCCAGACAAGACTTAATTAATGTTTAGAGATAATGCCAGCATCTGATCTTCTTCAGTCAAGAGCCCCCCCACCACCTTTTCTTCTTTTGTATTATTTGTATCTGATGAAAAACACTGGTGGCATTTTCGTTCAGTAAAACAATAAAATATTAATCACAAAAGCTGGGAGAACAAGGCTGTGCTGATTTGCAATTTAAATTACCTGAGACTTCCTGGTAATTAATTATAGTCTATATGAGTGAGTGAGGGCATACAGTGTACATAGGATTTCATGTGTGTATCTGCATGTGTGTGATCATTCAGGCTTTGTTTCACAGCACACAGTATCAGAAGCTAAATTTACTAAGTCCTTCTCTTCTATCCTATTCCTTAAAGAGCACCATGAAGGCCAAGTAATAAGAGGGAATCAATTTAAGAAAACATGACAACACTAGCAGCATTACCAACAGCCTCACGTCTTTTTAAATAGACCCAGATGACACTTAACAAGAATAAAGCTAAACATTTTTTTTCCCCCTCATCCTTTTCATGACAAACATCAAGAGCAAAGCACCGGGAGGAGATCAGCAATAACAACTCAGGGATTGAGGAGATGTGTGCTAATTATTGGACAGTCTCTCAGAAGAAATGTCTTCAGATAGTTCATTTGTTTTGGGAATCATCTGATGAATAGGAAAAATAACTAATATAATAATGATAATGTACTCGGCAAAAATAAAATACTGTAAATGTTGTCACATTACAGTGGATGCCAGGCAGAGATTTACAAAGACTGTGCTCCCCCAAAAGCTATTAAAAGAGAAAGTAAGAAGGCAATAGGTTATAGTGTTTGTTGCAGCAACTTGGGCTCCACCGGCACCTCCTAGGTGGGATGAAAAGCAGCAGCAATTAGGATGAGGGTAAGAGTGCTGAGAGAGCAATGTGAGAGCGTAAAAAAGTTCTGGTTCTATACAGTATACATCTTAATTTTATCTCCAGCAAATACAGCAAACTAAAAACTGTCAATAACCCATAGTGCATACAAACACCCTGCAGTGAATACTGAGGTCCATCAGATCCTGTTGGAATGCAACACTACAGTTTTTGAGGGCTGTGTTATTTTTGAATTGCATTGGAATTTCTACCTTCCCTCAAAGTCTAAACAATTAAACATCGTGGACTTTACAAAAATAATATTTACAGCATGGCTTTTCACTCATTAAACGGTATAAGTGTTCATGAGCACTCATCTATATACAAAGAAGAACTCGTGCAACACTGACCACCACAGTGACAGCCCAAGGTGACATCTTGGATTTTTGTTTTGTTTTGTTTTGTTTGTTTGTCCACCAAACAGTCCAAAACACAAAGATACAAATTTTAAAATGATAGAAGCCAGCAAATCTTCACACTTCAGAAGATGGAACCAGACAATAGTTTTCCATTTAACGACAGATTTTTTGGCCACTTGGGGGCAACAGAAACAAGCTGTCCTTTAACTGATATGCTGCACTGTTAGGACACGGACACAGTTTCTCACATATTTAGCAGTTAGGGAGCAACATTATCATTCTTCGGAGTTGCGTTTTTCGCCACCACAAGCGGAGTTTAAAATTGCATACTGATAAACTGACTGCTTTGTTTAAGCCTAGACTTTCATTTCTGTATCGAAATAGACATAGTTTTAATGAGTGTTACAGGAGGCAGTTACAAGGTACAAGCAACAAGCTTATCTGTATAAAACTACGGCAATATACATTTATATGCATGCATCTGCCACAGCCTTATAACCACTGGACTCAGTGTAAGATGTTTTATTGAAGATCCCTTTAGGACTCACTATTGTGAACTAGTAGCACTCTTGTTTGTGCACATCTGCAGAGCGAGAGGGGGGTGAAAGAGCTGGTCTTGTGTAATAATGTGTTCGCCTGTCAAGATGCGTTTCCCCTAATAAAACCCTGCTTCCAGTAGCGCCCTTCTCTGCAGTTATGGTTAGGATAAGGTTAAGGTTCAGGTTAGGGGAAACATCTCGATGGAGAAACAGATTCCAATGACACAACACTAGCAAGGAGTTCAGAAACTCATAACATCATTGTGCAGCCAAGAGAGAGAAATGGCTGATAAATACCAATTCCACTGCTTTCAGTTACAGCCAACACAGCAGCACAGCCAGTGAGGAAGAAGTCAAAGTGAAAAAGGAGGCAAGGCTGAAGAAACATGTAAACCTAAACACTTCTTTCCAACAATGGAAAGAGCTCTGGGATTAGAAAGGCTCTTTTTATGCTGGACAGGTGTGTAAATTATTTGCTATGCTCGACACGCTGGATTCTTACATGTCTGTTGCCCCGGTTGCTAGTGTTGTTGATGTGGTAATACATGTTCATGAATTATCAAAATATTTTGTCTCTTTGTCCCAGCACCCAAAACTCAGGAAAGCAGACACAGTTTCTTTGACAACACTATGATGAGGTTTCCTAGCACTGAGATTCTCATGGTTCCAGCTGTTTCGGCTGAACTGGAACCATGAAGACCACAGAGTAATCACTACAAAAGCAAGCAAGAAAGACATTTGTATGCATCTGGGTGGGTTCTGTATGTACAATACTGCAAGTGTGTGAATAAAGTAGAGAGGAGGGAAGGAGGGCGGGCCTCCTTCTTTCCACATCCTCGGCCCCATACCTGCTTACAGGAGAAGGGAGGCAGATGAGGAGAGTGAGACCTGCCGCCCATTTATATTCATTACAGAAAGACACTCTGCTCTCTCTCTGCCAGTCTAGCCGCCATCTCCCTCCATCTCTCTGTCACACACCTCAACACCAGACAAACCAAGAGACAGATAGATTCACTTCTCCTGTATAAACAAGAGCTAAGCAAGGTGATGCTACATCACAGAGTGACATTAGAGGCAGCCAGCTGCCCAGATGTTGACCAGGCCACTAAAGCCACACCAAATACAATAACCACACCACAAGCTCATGACACACTGGATAAAATCATGATGCTCTGTTCATGGTAATAATGGTTGTACATGGTAATACCATACATTTCTGCGCATATGTTACCTCCATCTGCAAATCTAATAACATGAACAGCTTACAATGCATATTTACACTTGAGGACACATTTCTGCTCATTTGTTTTTCCATCTGTACTCGTAACAGTTTGAATAGCTGGTGATGCATATGACACTTGCACAGCCATCCCAACTTGCAAATCTGTCTGTGAAGACAATGCATATTTAGGTGAGTTATGTTCAATATGTTATACCATATTTAGATATGGTACTCTAATCTTTACTACAGTTGTTCTCTTGTGCAAAAACAAAAACACTTACTGGCATACTTTCACAAAACCTTTCCTGGTGTTTATAAAAACACTATCTACTAAAATTGTAGTGTTAACGACTGACATGGAATCTAACAGACCTAAGCATCCACAGCCTCAGTAGTGGCCTATGAAACTATAAATGCTTATTACACACCAGAAACAAAATCTGCAAACAGAAAAATTTAAACTGCCATTTTTAGATCTATACCTGCCTTTAAGTACAAGTGAATGCAAATGTACTAATGCTAAACTGTCAAATATTAAACAACAGCATATCCACATGCATGTGGAGCAGTAATCCCATATAATTAGACTCACATCATCACTTTCCTTCTGTCTTCTGGCTGGCTGATGGTGAACAATTAACTCAAGGACCTCGGCCTAGTAAGTGCTCATGTAGCAGTGTTGCAGAGTGGACTTGGCTGAGCTACTGTTGAAGTAACTAGTGAGGGGTTAGCCTACACCTGTATGCCTATGTGGCTTTCGCAAACTACCTCCAGGTTCTCCTTTCTTTTGGCCTAGCTGATCGTGAAGCTGCTGTCTGAACTTAACTATCACTAAGTGAAAAACAAATTGTTTCATCTTCCTAAGGGCAGAGTCACAAGCCAACATGAAAGAACTAGCAGCAAAGAG